GCTAAATAGCTACTGTTTAGCTTTAGTTAGCCAAATTCAAACAGCTAGTTAATAGCTAGTCATTACTCTGAACAGTAACAGTTGTTTCCAGGTTATGAAATGTTCCGTCCCACAAAACATCAAAACAAGAAAGTCAAGATCCTTCATAGATCAGAGTTTGTTATTTCTAACCTCATGCTTTATTTCTGAAATCTCTCCTAGTGCTATTGAGTGCATGTTCACAAGATCAGTTTCTGGATTGCTAGGGTGCGGAAGAAGAGAGGTGCAGGGAGGACAAGGAAACCTGATTTTAGCTGATAGCTCTGGACAGCATGCTAATGTGAGAGAATTCCAGCACAATATTATTATTTTTTAAACTTGATTAATAAAACAGAGCAAAGATTTTTAAAATTGTGAATAGTCAGCTCCATGAATTGGTCCTTCTGATGTTTCGGCGCAGGGAATTCTTTGGAATTTTCTAGTTCCAATTCCCTTTTTTGAACTAGGTAACACTGTGTCAAGAGTTCTGTGACTCCCTGTTATTTGTGTAAGGGTTGCCAAGATTACATTTTTCCTCTAATAACTATCCCCAGTGCAAAAAGAAAACATTAACATCACCATACTTTTGAAGGGTTGGATGATTCTCGGAATACTGCTCGCCTTGCATGGAGGCTGATTTGTGATGGATGTGTGCTGAAGGTCACTAAATCTTTGGATAAGGTTAGTAACTACTTCATATCTTCCTGCTTCCTTGCTTTGTAGCCTGGAATACAGATGAAAAGTTAGCTATTCAAATAACAAACACAGCATCTTGGCTGTGAGTTGGAAAGAATATCCCTAGGCTGATACACTTATTAATTTTGTGTATTGATTTCCAAAACTTCTGGGTATTCACTTTCTAAAATCTGCTTTTGTTTATGGATTCCCTGGGCACATCTGAAGAGTAATTTAATTTCCAGAACACTGACTGTAAACTTCACTGACAAGACTCCACTGGGAAGTAACAGCAGACCTGAAACATCTAGAGATGGAACTTGTGAAACAAACTCTCTGGCTGAGAACAAACACAACAGTATTGCTGGAAACAAGATAAATTCTAACAAACAAACCAAGGAACAACAGAGCACTTTCACTGATCCCTCTGCAGATGTCCATGTTGTGCCCAGCATCAGCTCAAGGACTGAATTCCACGCTCAATCCCAAAGCTCTTCAGCAGCATCTACTGAGAGATTTCCTGTCCCTCTTCAGCTGGCACAGCCATCTCCCAGTACTGCATCCACAGGCACCTGGCAAGGGTTGGGCAATGGGCAGCCTCTGAGTGGAGCCAGATACAACCCCCAAGCACAGGGATCAGGGCTAGTGCTCGTCTCCACTACCATCCCCTCAGTCACTCTCTCCAGTGAGGATATCAGTACCAGTTCTGACTGTTTGTCTCTGCTGACTGACTGGGAAGATGTTGCTTTAATACCAGAATCTCAATGTGAACAAAATTCAGACTCTGTTCAATTCAAGGATGACTCAAGTACAGATAATCTAACAGTGTCTGAAGAAAAAACAATTACAAAACAAAAGGCTGTGACAAGTTCAGACAATCAGAGTTTGGGGGAAAGTGTAATATCCATGGAACCTCAGAAATCCGTCGTTTACAAAAGTCCTGATACTACAATCTATAATGTAGGAACAGTGCAAAAGCAGACACTACATTTTTCAGCTTTTAAGTTACCATCTGCAAAGGGAAATGCTATTTCAGCACAAACAGCATTAACTGGAAATTATTCTGCTCCTTCAGAGGTTCCTAAAAGAAAGCCAACTAGTCCAAAAACATACCCACCAGCAAAAAAACAGTCTTTTGCCATATATCAAGAGAAAACTTCATCTTTTGATCATTTCTTACCTTTGAGAAGTTCAAATTTGCCCAAAGCGTCTCCTGCCATTCTGAACTCCAATTTGAATCAGTCTGTAAGAGCTGTGAGAAACGGAAAACCAACTCCCCCTCTGTGTAACTGTGGTCGAAGAGCCAAAAAACTCTGCGTGTCAAATGCTGGTCCAAATCATGGCAGAGCATTTTTTTGTTGTCCTGTTGGCAAGCAAGAAGGTAATAAGAAAGGTTGTGGATACTTCAAGTGGGAATTTGCACTTCTTAAAGAGAAATCTAATGGTCTCACCTGGAATGCAGGTGCTTTGAGCTCTGTTGGAACTGCTGCTAGGAATTTAGGAAATTCTTCCAACGAAAAATGTTTGTCTCTTAGGCCCTCTATGAGAACTTGAAAATGGATCAACTTCTTTGTCCAAATCTTAAACTCACAAAGTTGATCATAGTTAATGTAACCAGGACAGTCAAATGATGTCATATGTTCTCAGAATGGGACAAAAATGACACTGTTTGGTTAACATAGATAGAAATGGAAATCACTTGAGCACACAAAAATATCCATAGGTCACAAAATACATCATTAATGAAGTATGAGAGAACTGTGTAAACTATAAAGTGCTAAAGTATGAGCAGCTGTTGCTACAGATCTTAAATTGCTGCTTTATCTTATATTTTAAATTCTTACCTAGTTCACTCCTTAATGGAGATTTTAATGATACAGATTTTATTTATACTTTTCTAAATATACTTGTAATGATTATAACTAACTTTTAAAAATCTATTTATAAGTTGTTGCCCTTTTCAAAAGTGACCCTTGAAGCAACAGTATTCTCTTAAACTTTTACTGGGTTTTTTTTTATCCTTTAAGTAACAATAAATTTAAACCCCTGGTGACACTTCATTAAATACTTTACTTAACACACATCACCCCTTGTGCTTTTGCCTCCCTGAGTTGCTTTGGCACCATTAGCTCTCAGTGTAGCCCCTGACACAGCCCAGTGGTGGGAATCAGGTAAGAATGTATTCAAACCTAAACTAAGAAGGATACAGTGTAATGTCTTTTACTCTGTGTTACTGTGTAAATCTGCATATCTTGCTTTGTAAAAAATCCTCCAAAAAGCAACACATACTTTAATCTTTTCCCTGCTCCTTCTGGAGCAGTTTGTTTCTTCTGATCTTACCACTAACAATTTTTGCCAACTGTTGAACAAACTCCATCTATTGGGAAAGGGAAGAAATTGCAATACAAAATAAGATATACTTTACCTAAATTTTTACTTTTTCTTAACCTCACTGGTATATGCTTATGAACCACACAACAGTGAACAGTCACTGTCTATGGCAGAGAAAATGGTTTGGGTATTTGAGCACTCACCTTCCTAGGATACCTGTATGGAGCAGGAACTTTCTTAACATGGTCCTGTAGCTCTTTGATCATTTTTTCCAGGTCATTTGAATCACAGTCAGATGTTAAAACAACACAGGCTTTCATGACCTAAAGAAGTTATGGAGACAGAGGTTTAAATGCCAGTGAAACAGTATTACACAACAGTGAAATCTGAAACTTTAACCAACACTTGCTGACAAACTGCAGATTACTGTACAGGGCAGGTACAGCAGCTTTGCCAAAGCTGTGTGTGCTTGCTGTTGATCTGGACTGTGTAGGCGGTTTATATACATTTAATGAAGGTGAAAAAATCCCAGAACAATTTCTCATATACTTCACTTTTAGGTATAGGACTGGATGTTTGCAGGTTTGTGCAGTCAAAGCCAGAGTGGAGGATATTATAAAACTCTTTGGATGTCAAATATGCTCTTGTTTCAGGATACATATTTACAGCACTCACTCCTTAGCTAGTGGGTTGGTTATCACCAGGTGAAAGTCACAGTTGTGCTGTGCTCTGCTCCTGTGCAGTGCCTGGAGAAAGGAAAACCTGGGCCAGACCAGCAGAGAAAATACTGCTGTTTGGTGCTGGGCTCCCCTCACTTACCTCAACAACAATGATCAGGTCGAAGTGTAGCATCTTATGTACAAATACACTTGTCCCTTGAGCTTGTGGGGGAAAAAATGCTGCTCCAAGCTGACTTTGCCCAGCTACATGTCTTATGTAGTCCAAAATGTATCTGAGGAAGTTAAGTCTAGTGAGTAGCTGGTAACACAAGGAAATGATCCACATGAATATGTATGAGATTGTTGAGGGGTTTGAGGGTCCCTAGGCCTTCAACTGTACCAGGTTGCTCAAAGCCCCATCCAGCCTGGCCTGGAACACCTCCAGGCATGGGGCATCCACAGCTTCTCTGGGCAACCTGTGCCAGACCCTCACCACCCTCCCAGGGAAGATTTTTTTTCCTAACATCTAATGTGAATCTGTCCTCTTTCAGTTTCATCTTGTAGATTGCATTTCAGTTGCCTTATACAGCAGAGAGGCACTGAATGCTACCCAAGCACTGCAGCTCTGACTTGTGTAAATGAGATGTCTGCTACTGACTGACAATGCAGAAGTATCAGTGTGGACCAAGATGTTGCACAGATAATCCATCAATTCTGCATTAATTACTGGCTGACCACAGTGTCACTTTGTACAAAGACGTTTACAGTTCTTCTAGTGTATCAGCATTGTGGATATATTGGTTGCCAGGAATGAAACAAGTGTAGCAAACCCCTGAAAAGATTCCAAAGTTTTTATGTTTTAAACATTTTGATGTACAGTCAGCAAATTACTTTATGAGACGGAAACTTTAAAAGACTCACTGAAAAAAGATCCAAAATGCAGAGCTTTACTTCTTAAGAAGTCAACTTAACTGGAGGTCTAAAACTTTGAAGTAATTATTTTCATGCATTTTCAACTGTCTTGTATTTACAAAACAATATAAACACTGCTAGTTCCTTATGGAATGAATAACTATCCAGCTGTAAAATCATGTGCTTTTACTGAGTGAAGCAATGGGACTTTTTTGAACAGTCATAAGACCTAACTACAGCCAAATCACATCTGTGGTGCTCCAGCACTGCTGCCTCCTTTGCTCTGCTTCCGTGGGAGGGGCAGGAGGGAATGTGTGCCCTCCTCTCTGCCATCCCGGCCACAGTCTGGCATCGTTGTGGGCATGGCTGTGGAGCATTCCTCTACCTTTAGCCTCGACTGAGAGGACTGCTAGGGAGCTAGTGACAGCTGTAGCTTAAATTGAGACATCAAGCTAGATAGAGTTTGGCTGCCAGAGCCCTTAAACAGCTCCTGCTGTATCTCCATCGACAAAACATGGCTACAAGGTCAGCAGAAGTTGTTAACACCCATCTACCTCTTTGGAGCACAACAGTCCTCTGGGTGCTGATCACTGCTCTCTTTCCTGGAATGTAGCTCCTGTGCTTTTGCCAGAACTCTCTCCTGGGGTTCTGTCTGTCTGTAAACAGCGCACTCAAAGGAGATGTTAACCAGCTCCCTGAAATGTTCACTGCAGCAGAAAGAAACTGATTCAAAACAGATTTCCCCAAACAACAAACCTGCTCTCTGCCTGGCGGTAAAGGGAGACCCACAGTCTGCAGCAGTGACATTTTAAACAGCTCTTTGAAATGCTTGTGACAAAATCCCCTCAGAAGAAAGGCAGAGGAACAGCCATAAAGCGTTTCCACACCCAGAAGATCACATCACCCCAGAGGAGGCAGGAAGGAGAAAATGACAGCCATGGCTTGTGATGAGTCACTGAATGTGCCAGAAATGTGTAGGCAAGGCTTCCAGCTGGAGAAGAAAACCCTAACTTCCACAGTGACCTAACCTGTAACCCATTCTTTTGGCAGGGCATACAGCTAATTTCCAGAGCACTGATGGGTATTTCCAAGCTCCCCAGCACTTTTCACCACAGAAGTATCCTCCTTACCTTCAGAGTTATGTTCTGATTGCACGTCCTTTGTACCACTCAGCAGGCTGTAGAAATTCTTCCTCTAACATGTCCCAGAGTGCCCAACTCCAAACTATCACTGTAATTCACGAGACTTTGGGAGTCTTTTACACAACCCCAGCAATGCAAAGATTTAGTGATGTTTAATTTATGCACAGGCAATAATCCCAACGAGGTCTAACAATTGCTGTGGAATTACATGAGCCTCAAAGGCTTTGCAGGAACAGAGCTTCAGATAAGATGTAAATGCCACCTCCTGCTGTGGTTCTAACTGATAAATACTTCCATTGAAGTCTCCTTTTCTCCTACCCAAGAGGATTCTCTGGATGTAAATAATAGTCCTGACACCTCCTTAGCTGTCTCTTCTACCTATTTTCACAAAATGATAAGGAACCTAATTCTTACCCCCTCAACTGTCCAAGAAGCTCAAGAGTTACTGCAGGGAGAGGCAGCTGTTACCAACAGGGATGGATAGAGACACCTTCCCTTAGAATGTACACTATGGGCCACGATTTCTCTGTCAGCACATTTGCTAGAATCTCAGGCCTCCATTTACCTGTCCAAAGAGCTTCTGTTTTAGCAGGTGCCTCTACACCCTGACACCTTCAGGAGTCAGACAGAAAGGGAAGTGGCCAAAGCCCTTTGCTGGGGCACACTGATGTTGGACATGTCAATGCAGAGCAGGACCAGGGGCTGCTCCCTGCCCACACTTCGAATCACAGAATCATCAAGGTTGGAAGTGACCTTTAAGATCACCAAGTCCAACTGTTAACCTGGCACACCACTGTAACCCCTAAACCTTAAACCAAGTCTTCCAGGGTCAGGTCCAGATGCCTCTTAAACACTTCCAGGGATGGTGACTCCACCACCTCCCTGGGCAACCTATTCCAATGCTTGACCCTTCAGCGATTGTCCATCTCCTCCTCTCCCCTCAACTCTGGAATCATTAACACTGACACAGACTTCAACCCTGGAACGAGTTCGGCAGAAGAGAAAGCATCAAGGGCTACAACTGACCAAGTTTGGCCATGGCTAAGTGTGCAGAGTCCAGAGGACTGTTCTGCTGTCCTGGACTGGCGACCCCCGACCCCAGTCCCTCCACCCCTCACCACCGTCCCCTTTGCATCCCGGCAGGGCAGTCATAGAATCATAGAGTCAACCTGG